TAACCGTCTTTGGACGGCCGACCTAATTTTAAGGTTTTATGACTACTAATGTTCAACTCCGTAGCTTTGTAATTCTGAACCCAATCCAGAAGACAAGGAAACTCCTGGGTCAAGTAGTGGGAGAAATTCGCCTTCGTGGAGGACTTTTTGATAGAACTAACCAGCATTTGCGTTAAATGGAAAGGAAAACCTCCCACGGATAGCCTGACGACAAGAGGACTCTAAACCATGATCCGTCTACCACTGAAGATATTCTATGTCAGCACGGTGGTCTGTGCTAGTCGGATGCGGAATTCGTATTGACCAGCCATAGCTAGGATTCAAACCCGACTCACCTCATTGGAACACTCCATCCCCAGAGCCATCACGGCTTACTATGCATGATTTTATAACGGCCATTGAACAGTCGACCTAATGTTTGGGTTTGCGACTACTAATGTTCAACTCCGTGACCTTGTAATTTTGAACACAATCCAGAAGACAAGGGAATTCCTGGATCAAATATTAGGAGAAAGTTGTCATCGTGGAGGACTTTTTGATGGAACTAATTCGCATTACACCCACGGTTAGCCTAACGGCAAGGGGACTCCAACTCATGATCCGTCTACCACTGAGGATATTTTACGTCAGCACTAAGGTCGGTGCAAGCCAGATGCGGAATTCGTATCGACCTGCCATCGCTGGAATTCGAACCCAGTTCACCTCATTTAAAGGCAAGCGTTCCATCCTCAGAGCCCTCACAACTCACTATGCATGATTTTATTTATAACCGTCGTTGAACAGCCGATCCAATTTTTTGGGTTTACGACTACTAATGTAGCCTCAAAATTTTGAACCCAATTCACAAGGGAACTCCTGGATCAAGTATTGAGAGAAATTTGCCTTCGTGGAGGAGTTTTTGATGGAACTAACCCGAATTTGCTTTGCATGGAGAGGAAAACCACGAAAACCTTACACGGTTAGCCTGACGGCAAAGGGACTCTAACCCATGATCCGTCTACCGCAGAGGANAAAAAACTAAGAGTTTTCTCACAACTCACTATGCATGATTTTATTTATAACCGTCGTTAAACAGCCGATCCAATTTTTTTAGGTTTACGACTACTAATGTAGCCTCGAAATTTTGAACCCAATTCATAAGGGAACTCCTGGATCAAGTATTGAGAGAAATTTGCCTTCGTGGAGGGCTTTTTGATGGAACTAACCCGAATTTGCTTTGCATGGAGAGGAAAACCACGAAAACCTTACACGGTTAGCCTGACGGCAAAGGGACTCTAACCCATGATCCGTCTACCGCAGAGGATAATTTACGTCATCACTGCGGTCGGCGCAAGCCGCATGCGGAATTCGTATCGATCAGGCATCGTTGGGATTCGAACCCGGTTCACTGCATTGGAAGGCGAACGCTCCATTCCCTGAGCCACCACGGACCACTATGCATGATTATTGGCAGCAGTGATCAAGGCAAGGTTCAAGAAGACCGGGTTCTGTGCGGCCACACAGTATTACTCAGGGGAAGATCGCAGCGTATGGCTGTGGCGCACCGTACTGCGTCTAGACGCAGTACTGTTGAATTTCTGATGCAGCTGCATCAGAAATTCAAATTGCAGTTGGCAATGCAGTGACATATTGGTTCGAAGGTGATTGCCTGCAAACGACCTGTCTCCAGCCTATACACACTGGATCTATACCTGGAGTTATGGTCTAGGAGCAGTTTCCTATGACAGCAGGAGCACTCCCGTGTTTATTCTATGAAAATGTATACGTTACCCTGGTAATTCAATCAGTATTGTTGCCATTCATAAACAGCATTCAAGGGGCTATTTCCCAATAGCCGCTTGCCCTCATACTGCTGTTGTAATCCAACATGCTCTACCAAATGTTGACATGTTGCCTTGGCCTGCTAGATCACCAGATCTTTCACCAATCGAGCACGTATGGGACATCAATGGATGACAGTCTCTGCGTCATCTACAACTAGCATTAACTATTCCCGTATTGACTGACCAAATGCAACAAGCATGGAACTCCATCCCACAAAATGACATACGGCATCTGTATGACACAATGCATGCCCGTTTGCATGCTTGCATTCAGAATTCTGGTGGTTACGCCGATTATTAGTGTACCAGTATTTCACATTTGAAATGGTTTTTCTCTTAATTGCATTAACCTGTGACCTTGAAACTTTAATCAATTAAATATGTTACGCAGGCAAACGCATTGCCGAAATTTCATTACTCTACAATAATTTTTTCTTGGTGTTGGAATTTTTTTCCATCAGTGTGTAATAAGAGTAAAATTACTGAAAATAAGACAGTTACAAAAAAATAATTGTGTTTTATTTTTCTTACATAAATAACGATACATATGATTAAAAATAAATTGTTATTACATTTTTGTTTACTGTTTAATTACATTTTTTTAACAGTCAAATTTCGGATTCGTTGTCATAACAGTAATTGGGTAACATCAGCAGTAATAATGATGAAACGTGTTTCCGAACGCTTTTAACTCGTATTGAAATGGGTGTCGGATAAACGAATTATCGTTTGATCCAGCATCGGATAATTGGAGACATATGCTTCATTTCTTGTTGAACTAGGTAAACAACAGTGATCCTACCTAAGTCAACGGAAATTAAACAAGCGTTATATTTTTCAGTTTTAAAAAATCAAATTTCAACACGACATTCACCAAATTTTATTTTTAATTTTTATTTATTTAAGTATAAAAAAGCAAGAAACAAATGCAATTATATCTTAGAATCTTTAAATCATAGTGACTGCAACATTTATGATTGAGCGAGTTCCGTGACACGGAACAGGTGGGGTGGAGCTTCAACTTTTAAAATGCAAACAATCGCTTGACTGCCACCGTTTCAAATAATTCAGTTTACAATGTCCACGTAGCTTTGTCTTATTTAATAATAATTTTTTTGTCAATGTTTAAAATATTTCTATACTATATGAAAATGAAAATAAACAGCAGCAAGACCGTCAAAAAAGTGAAATTTTAATTTTTCTGAAGTTATTTTAAATTATATATTTGAAATTCATCATAAGATTTAAATTTTAACCCCATGTATTAATATATAATACCCAGTAATATCAAATATTTATATTTTTATTTACAAGTAAGAAAATTTTAGATCACTCTCAAAAAGATCCAATTTGTTTTCTATCTGCTCCGATTTCGAGAAGATTGTTAATTAATCGTCATTCATAATTTTGTAAAAAAAAAAAAAAAAAAAAAAAAAAAAAAANATAAAGAAAAAAAAAAAAAAAAAAACAAATATTTATCCGAATGTTTTATAATAAATATTAATTTGCTAGCCTCCAATGTGTTTATTCTTTTTACTTCTGTTTAAGAACAGATTCTAAAAATATTCATCAAAGGTGGTTAATTATGAAACATCCTATTTGAATAAAAACATGTTTAAATCAAGTGTTTGAAATACAATAAATATTATGAAATTAAATTTAGCTATTTTTGCTCTCTTCTTTAATTTAACATTATTTTTTAATAATTCATAATAGTAGTAAGAGTAATTTAAAAAATATTTTAGAATTTTATTATTAGTATTATGAATGTAATCTCTCTATACTTATTATTATTATATTTTGCCTAGCGTTAACTAACAAATTTTTTAAATAAGCAAAAAAATAAACTAAACGAGATCGAAAAACAACAGTAAGGAAGACAAAAAGTGGGAAAGAGGAAAAATGTAATTTGATTTTTAAAATTTTTTAAACTCAATCCAAGATTTGTTATTTGATCCCCGTGTATTGGGATATATAACATGCCGTTATATTTCTAAAATATTTATATTCTTTTTATTCAAAAATTCCCTTTCAAAAAAGTTAAATATTTTTTTTCTTCTGCTCTGATTTATTAAAGCTTTGTAATTTGCTAATATTTAGTTAAAAAAAATGATGTTTAACCCGAATGTTTAATATTATATTATAATTTGCAACTCCCGATGTGTACATTCTTTTTACTTCTTAAAAAAAAATAACCTTTTAATATTACATTACACTAAGGCGATTATTGCGTAGCATTCTGTTTAATTAAAATAAATCTAAAAAGTCTTAGTCAAGTGTTAGAAATGAAATTATAAAATTAAGTTTAATTAATTTGTTCTTTGCTTAGAAAATTAATACAATTTCACTTAATTAAACATTTATTTTATGATTAATTCACAAATTACAAGGTAATTCACAAGGTACAAAGGTAAGTTAATTTTAAATAAATTTTAACTTTTATTATCAGTATATTAGGAATTTAACCTTTGTAATTATTATTTTCAAACCAAGCTGCTAACAAATTTTTCAAATAAGTAAAAAACTAAGAGTTTTGAAACAAAACTGTACAAANTAATTCACAAGGTACAAAGGTAAGTTAATTTTAAATAAATTTTAACTTTTATTATCAGTATATTAGGAACTTAACCTTTGTAATTATTATTTTCAAACCAAGCTGTTAACAAATTTTTCAAATAAGTAAAAAACTAAGAGTTTTGAAACAAAACTGTACAAAGCGAAAACGAAAACTGTACAAAGCGAAAACGAAACTAAACAATGAGAAAATCAAGAAGCAAAAAATAAAATGTTAATTAAAAAATTTTTTAAAATCAAAATCGAGATTATTTTTAATTTTATGTCTTAGAATATATAATACCTCTCTATTTTTTAAAAATAATTTTAAAATATTTATTTTTTTTATTTACAAGTATGACAAATACAGACCTTTTCAAAAAATTCAAATTCGTTTTTCTTCTGCTCCCATTTCGTAAAGCTAGTTCATTAATCATGAACATTTTATATTTAAAAAAAAAGTTTAACCTGAATGTTTACATTTTTTCATAGACTATAATACATACTAACGAAAATCTACCAATTTTTTATTTTTAATAACCTTGATCGAGGACAGATCAGCTCAAGAATCCTTTAATATGTACTGAAGAATTCTAGAGCGCAAGCGTGATTCGATCCAATTAGATAAAAAGGAAAGCGATTTTGGAGCTGTTCTCATGATCTTAGAAATCTCAGTGGCTGGAATTGGTAGAGGTGGTTATAGCCACCTAGTGGCGGGGTGAAAAGATGGTTTTCCATTTCTATAGCAGATGAAAGTGTATGGCTTAAAATATCATGATGAAATATTAAAATGACACTTGCATTTAATCAACAATAAAATTTTTCTTGTGTTGTTGTCTTACGAGTTATGATTTCGCGCATCTTTAATTCGCTGTTTACTTTTTCCCCATTGTAACATTCTTGAGTATTGAACCGGTATTATTAGTTATGTTTATGAAATAACTGTGTTTTGTAAATAGTGACTTCGTGAATGTTTATCAACGAATTGATATTAAAAATTTATAACAGGACGATGTTGACTACTTAAAATTTTAATTAGTGCAATTCTCAGTTTATCCTGAGAGATTTTTGATAAGAATTCAAGGATATGGCAGAAGTGTTGTTTGATGATGTTTATGATCTGTGTGAGATTATCGGCAGGTATTTTCGAATATTTTTTCTCTTTTCATTAACCATATTTAAATAACAAATTGATTTTGGTTATGTACGTTTTTTTTGGTGCTAGATTTTGATTTGTTGCGATCAAAACTAACGTTTTTCTGTTTGCTGTGTAGTATTCTATGAAATCATACTTAAGAAAATTATGAATTTCACATGAAAGCAAATAAAAAGTGACTGTAAAAATAGTCTTTAATAACTCATTTTATGAAATTTTAGTTTTAAATTAAACAATTGACTGAAGTAAACTTAAGAAAATTTATTAAATGCTACAAGAAAAAGATTGTACTGTTCACGTAGACTTACTTCCTATTAAAATGTGTGTTCATGTTATCAATATTATATGCATGTATTAATATTTTGAAATAGTTATAAAATCTGTAATGTTGATAAATTAATAAATAATACAACGGTTTCTGCAAGTCTAATTTGGTAAATAAATGTTTATTTACAGAGTTCATCTTTAAAAAACTAGCAAAGTAAAATTATACATAGAATTAGATTATTAATTTGCTCTTAAATTCTTTTTATGTATTTTTTAGTGCCCTTAAAAAATGAATGAATCTCATAATTGCAAGAAAATAATTTTAACTGATATCATTCCTTGAATGTAACTACTTGTTTTTGATGCAAATATTTTGTTTATTTGTGTCAAGCATGTTTATTTGAGAGACACATAGTTTTTTTCTGCATATATTTTGTTTAATTTTTATGCAAACAACACACAGTACATTTGAATGTTGTTTTTTTAATGTGTCATTTTGTATTTTTTTTTCAAACTTAATTTTTTATTCTGCTTTAAATAATTTTTTATTGAATTAAAACTAGAAAATTATGAGATCTCATTTGTGTCTAAACAGAAAGTTTTATTCTTTTGTAAAATGTGCTATGGTAACTTTCATAATTGAAGTTTTATAAATAAGTTTTTACTATTAGTTAAAAGATTTATAATTATGTTTGTATGATGAATTCAAATTTTATAATGGTTGTTAGGATAAGAAAAGTAACATTTAATAAAATAAATGTAAGATAAATTATATTTTTCAAAATTACTTTACGGGTAAATAATGTTTTACAATTTTTAACGTGTTTCAACAGAATTAACATTTTTTTTTTTAATTATACCATAAAATGTTGAAAAATTAAGTAAGTAAATAAGAATAGATTTATTTAGCATTGCATAAATGAATATATAATTTAATAACATAAGCTAAAGTACAAGCATGCTATAATAATATTTCAAAAGTTTATAAAAAATTTTTCATTTTTGTATTGAATTGCAAATTGATTTACTATCAAATTGTAAATTATTTTACTATCAAATTCTTAAATTTTTTTTTTATTATTGTAGCATGGCCAAAAAACAAATTTGTGTTGCAGGTCCTATATTTATCTGGTTAAAAAAATGTAGGTAGCTATATAACTAAATGAAAAATAAAAACGCATTTTCATTGTACGAATTGAAGTAATTTTTTGTGTAGCAAGTATCATAGTCAGTCCTTTTGAAATATATTTTAACCCACTGGCGTTTTAGCAGATGAGCAAATTGGGATGATGTTTCTCCCATATACACGTCCCGCAGTGGACTGATCGATAAGACACGGTTACCAGCAAATCACCAATCACTTAGATCAGTCTGCGTTAGGACCGAGGTTGTGTGGTATTGGTCCTCGTTAAATTGTTCTACCGCAAAGTGCTCGACTTCGTGTGCAGGTCGCCGGACTACCGAAGCGGGGGTGCCATCCCCTCTGCAGAGGATCCAAATTGTGATGGCATGTCTTCTGATCATCCTAAGGGATGTTTCCCAGACCCTCGCCAATAGCCTATTGTGCTGCTCTAGTGCAACGTAAATGAACTACAACAACAATTCTGCCATATACACTATTTCCCAACCTAATTGCATGGAAAAACCGATTTTTCTGTGTGAAGAATACTATAGATTGAAATACGCTTTTTTAAGCGCAGAACCAACAGTGGGTTAAGGTAATCATAAATATGTAACTCAGTCTAATAATATATTATCTATCGACATTTGATTTAAATTTTAATTATTGTGAGTAATTAATAGTGTTTGACCAAAACTTGGTTTATTCATATTTTATAAATTATCAGTCATAATATTGATCAAAAATCATATGTAAGCAGTATTTACTGCCACAGAAGCTCTGAAAGTTTATGATATATCAAAAATATTAGCGTATTTTTAAAGATGAAATTTTCTACACGACTTGAAAAATATTCGTATTTTCATGAAGCTTTTAATGCTCAGTTTATTTATGAACATTTGAGATTTAAAAAAATTTAATTTTTTGATAAGTCAATACGTACTCTTTTCTTACTGGATTCAGGGCCGTCTTAATAGTATGCGGGGCACAAAAATGTTTTAGAGCCCTATAACATATCATAATGTTTAAAAACGAACTAAAAAAAAACTTCAAATACATAAAATAAATCATTTTTAAGATATGATGCAATAATTTTAACAAATTTAAACTACTTTTGATTACCCCAAAAACTCAAATAAAATATTTTTAAACAATGTATAAGTTTTAAAAAAAAATTGAGATGCTCACCAGTTGTAATCCTCAAATAATAAAATCATGGAAGTTAATTAAAATAATTAAATTAAATAAACATAAAGGTATAACGAATTAAAATAAATTCAACAGGTATGGATTATTTTGTCAAACTAAATAGTTATTAAAACATCTTTCAATGCCCAACTACCTAAAATTTTCATTGGAATATAAAAGAAAATGCATTTCGTTTACCTTTTTAAGTTTTCTTGTTAACTATTGATAAACTATTCAAATTATTGGTATTTGTCTGATAATTAATAACTATTTGTAGGAAAAAAATTCACACTACATACAATAGAATATATTTATTTTAAAAAATATATAAGGCGATGTTGCATATTAGCTTTTATTTAACACAATTTATGAAAAGTAAGATTCTCAAGGGCTCCCGGGCACTGACCAGGTGTGCCCTTGTGTAAAGACTGTACTGACTGGCTTCAGGATTGGAAAGATTTTGAAATTTGAAGAATTTTTTTTGCTTGTATGATCTTCAAATACTAATTTATATAAAAAAAAGATTTGTAATTAAATTATTTTTATCTTAAAAGCTTCCACTTAATATTATTGATATATTTGTGTCTATATATAAATATCATCATTTTTGAATGATGTTTAAAAATACTTTGGCTGCGTAGTAGGCGATGGTCGATTAAGTTTTTGTCTTTCGCAGTTTGAGCAGCAGTTCGATTCACAGTGCTGAAATACATTGTCGAGTAGGTAATGAGACTAAGGGGTCAATGGTCTGATGTATCCATTCAATTAATGACTACTGCTACACTACTTTAAATCAGGATTGGCAAGTTCCTTCTAACCGTCCCAGAAAAAGTAAATTTCATCCAAGTGGAGTGGTAGAAGCTTTATTTTTTTTAAAAATTTAATATTAAAATGGTTTTTTTATGCATTTTAAATTACAATCAAATTTAAGAAATGGATTAAAATTTTTTTTAGATTTCCAATTTTTTCAACTCATCATTTATGAATAAGCGAAGACCAGAAAGAAACATCTGGAAAAAAAATTACATTTAATGAGTTTCTTAGAAAATTTAAATATTTCCCCCCCCCCCAATAATTTAGTAAAAGATTATTGTGAAACCTAGTTTGATAATTGTATAAAGAACTGTTACAATATCATAGTCAAACTTTATTAACTCCTCAATGATTGGCTAATTTTCAAGAAAACGGTCATAAAAGTGCCTATTTTTTTTATCCCTGAAAATTGATTAGTGCTGACATCTAGTTTAAAATAAACTAACTATCTACAATTACCTTAAAAATATCCTGGTACTGCCATCTGGTGTGTAAAATGAAAAATAAAATGTTTTCCGGGCATAAGAAATTAATCAGTTGTATTCTTATTGGCGCATTACTACTGAATACTCCAGCCAGGAAATATCACGGAAGCGAGAAATAGAAGGCGAAACCTCACTCCGTCATTTTCACGGGAGTGAGGATGAAGGGATTAATGCCATTAAATGAACAAATTACCTACTAAACATATATACACAACCATATCTCATATATTACACTCACAATTAGCCAACTAATTTTTCTAATTAAATACTATTATGTAAGAACATGCACTGGTTTGCAAACTGATTTTCTAAAGTGCAAAGATCCTTAAATTAGCAAAAAACAGTACATAAAAATTAAAAATTTTGCAATGTGGAATATTAACCTCTTGGAATGAGAAAGGTTAAAATAATTGAAAACCTTTCAAAAGAAATCATAGATAATATTTTGATAGAAACTAAATTCTTACTCATGCTAAATGAAGGAATTTCTTTACAATTTTAAATTATGATGATTTATGTTCATAAAAACTATATGAGGCACACTTTAAAATATTTTATATATCCATCAGTAATCAAATGATTTATTTTCTTGTAGATGAGTGGTTGATCTACATATATCTAGAGTATAATTTTCTTTCCTTTCATTCAAATTACAGCTTTTACATCCTTGATATTTGTAGATCTTTAAAAATATAACTTATGAAAAATTGGCATTTATCAAATTTGGCATATAATGAATACCGGTACTTTCAGATCCCAAAAACTTGAATTTGTCTTTAAATATGTTGACTACTACTACATCTATTGCAACTTTAATTTAAAAATGGTCATTTCAAAAATAAATGTTAAAAATCTATATTGTTGCTGTTAATTTGTATTTGAGATTTTGATTTCTAGTTGAATGCAAATTATAAAAATGTTCATTGGCAGCAAAAGTATTTTTAAGATATTTAAAAGAATAACAAAAAAATTTTATAATTATACTAAGCAAGGTGAAAGAATGACAGTAACACAGGGAATGACAGTAACACATATATTAGGATTAATTTTATTTTTAGTATCGGGCAGCAAGTTCAATATTTGCAAACTATATTTTTTATTCTCAGGTCAT